CTGGGATCATGACCTGAGCCGAAGGCAGACGCTCAACGGCTGAGCCACCCAGGCGCCCCAAGGCTTTTTCTTAAAGGCACCAAAATGAGAGGAAACTTAAGAGAATATGCAAGATAGGTATCTTCCAAGAGTGACATAAGTAATAAATTGGAGATTGTCCTACATCTCAAACTGAGAGGATACTCACTATAATATCCCTTTTACTTGGGCAAATAGATAAAAGTTGATGACATTAAAAAACTTAATGCTGTCACTTTTGGAGAGTAAATGTAATCTTTAATTTTTTTACTAGCAACTGGAGATAAATGACATTTGGGCTTAAAATGGTAAAATAATAGCTGTGATATAATGAATAAATAATGTTCTTTATACTTTATATCTAGGGGTTCTTTTTTGAAATACCATATATAGTACAGTTCCCCCTATAAATACGCATATCATCTGAATTATTCTTTTCACAATGTAAGAGATTAACAGAGAACTTCATGTTAAGGTATTAGAAATCATAAGGTCTTGTGTATATCTATAGTTGCAAATTAGGACTTCCAAAAATCCAACTTTAGAACATGTGATAAAAGCTACCCTTAAGAGAGGATGTCTTTCTGGATTTTATTTCTGATTGATTTAACTAGCATTATATTCTAAATAGGACTTAGCTTGATCATCTGTAAGTAAATAGTCCACAAATTTTCTTTTCCAGTATTGTCCTTCCCAGGTTAATGTTCAAATCATATACACTTAAGAAAATATTTAATAACATTCCATTCTTTTTTGATAATGTGGAAAAGTTTGGGGTATATGAATTTTTTTTTGAAAAGTTGAGAATTATCAAAAAATCCACTGGTGGCTGTATCTAATCATAATTTTCTAAGGAATAACTGCTTTTAGATTTACTTTTCCAAAGAAGCAACATTAAAAATAAGTTAATACTTTAATTTCAACTACCATATACTATGAAGATACTTTTGTATACTACACCTTACATTATATGATAACTTATCTTTCTTGATGATTTACTGTTTCCATTTTATGTATCTTCAAATTTATTTTTGGTCACCTACTAAAAGTAACAGTGACAATATCTTCAAATATGGATGAACTATTGTCATAAAGGATTATCACTGTTTTGTTTATAAATATGCTATTAACAATATACAATTTGAGAACTATAAAGACATCAAGTGAAAATAAACCCTGACTTGCCCAGTGTCAAAAAAATTCTTATCATACTCAAAAGCAAAAAAACAACCCAATTAAAAAATGGGCAGGGGCACCTGGGTGGCTCAACCATTAAGCGTCTACCTCCGGCTCAGGTCATGATCCCAGGGTCCTGGGATTGAGCCCTGCATCAGGCCCTGCTCAGCGGGAAGCCTGCTTCTCCCTCTCCCACTCCCATTGCTTGTGTTCCCTTTCTTGCTGTCTTGCTCTCTGTCAAATAAATAAATAAAATCTTAAAAAAAAAAATGGGCAAAAGACCTGAACAGACATTTCTGCAAAAGATATACAAAGGTGAATAGGTACATGAAAAGATACTCAATATCACTAGGAATTTTAGGGCAATGCAAATTAAAACCACAATGAGGTATTACCTCACACCTGTTAAAATGGCCATCATTAAAAAGACAAGAATTAACAAATGCTGGTGTGGATATGGAGAAAGGGGAAATCTTGTGCATCGTTAGTGGGACTTTAAATTAGTATACCCACTATGGAAAACAGTATGGAGGATCCTCAAAAAAATTAAAAATATAACTATCATATGATTATTTAACAATTCCACTTCTAGGAATACATTCAAAGGAAATGAAAACACTAACTCGAAAAGACATCTCCACCCCTATGTTCACAGCAGCATTATTTACAATAGCCAAGGCATGGAAATAACCTAAATGTCCACCAACAGATGAATGGATAAAGAAAATGTGGTATATATACACAGTAGAATATTATAAAGACTAAAAGGAAATCCTGCCATTTGCAACAACATGTATAAACACTGAGGGCATTTAATGCTAAGTTAAATAAGTCAGACAGAGAAAGACAAATACTGTATGATCTAACTTTTATGTGGAATCTTAAAAAAGACCAAAAAAACTCACAGGAAAGATCAAACTTGTGGTTACCATGGGTAGAGGGTGGGGGAAGAGAAAAGTGGAGGAAGCTGGTCAAAAAGTACAAACTTCCAGTTACAAGATTAAAAAAAAAAGCTATTTTACAAGTAAACCTTTCAGCATTCCTGTGAAATAAAAAGTCCTCATTCTATTTTTAACTATTAATGGCAATAAATCTGTAAAAAAGAAAAAAAAAATCCTTGTCTTTTTTTGCCTTTAGAAACAGTAACTACTTTTTAAAATGCCCTGACAGACTTTAAAATATTAAAATATTTGTTTCTGAAAGTGACATTATTTTAATTCCATTCCAAAAAATGTATGTCCTAGCTTATATTATTTCTAGACTTATGTTTATACATAAAACTAAGAAAACTATAAAATTATTAAATACATCATCTGAAGAGAAGAACTGATCAATGATCTCATAGGCCAATTTGTAGATGTCTTCATTTTCATGATTTTGAAGTTGTTCAATTTTCTCCAGTCCTGCAAGAAATTTTATGAAGTGAAACAATGGTAATATTTAAAATGTAAGAACAAAAAATTTACAATAATCTTGGGACCACATAATCCCAATTTTTGGACTGCAAATCTATGATTTTTGGGACTCTATTCTAAAGGTGAATCTTAAAAATAAAAAGGTTTTATGCACAAATACAGCATATTTATCTTAAAAAGTTAACAACCTGAGTGTTTAAATGCATATAAATGTTTTAAGCAAGTGACAGACCCCTCTCTATTCAGCAGAGCACTATATAATCAATGTTTATAAGGAATAACAACATGGATTACTTTTGTTTGTTACAAGTTAAAAGCAGATTCTTTCTACTTTCTAGCCTCTGCCAAGTTTTTCTAATGAGCATGTATAAAAACAATGAAAATACTGGTGATTAATAAATATGAATGTTAAGACATATGTTAAGTATTATGGAAAATGATCAAGCTCAATCACAGTGTTTCAGGAGAAGGGAATTTTCCCTATAAACATTGAGCTTATTAAATCATAGGCAGAAACATTAAAAAGAATATATAAACTTAACTGATACGCAAATTGCATCTTGTTTGCTTTATAGGAGTAATAATTTTAAGGCTTCTGAAGTAAAGTGAAATTGCCCTTTCATGAGTGTTCTTCTTTATCTCTATTCCTTACATGGGAGAAGTTGTTTTGGGCTCATTTTTCACTCTACACACTCTACTTAGTGGGCCTGCCTTAAGTAAAAAAGAATTTAGCTAGGTACGCCTGGCTAGCTTGGTCAGTGGAGTACGCAATTCTTGATCTCGGGGTTGTTTGAGCCCCACGTTGGGTGTGGGGATTGCTTAAAAAGAAAATCTTAAAAGAAAAAAGAATTTAGCCACTATGATAGGGTGAGGACTTGTTCTTTTCTGGGCTTCAGAAACATAAAATTAAAATGCCTGTGTGATCATTTCACCAGATGTTTCATGGGTACTTAAAACTCAAAATGTCCGAACACAATTTGTTACTTGCCTTTCCTCAATTAAACTATTCGTTCCAATGTATTCTTACTTTGTGATAATAAACAACTTGAAATTGGAGAGAAAGCCTAGTAAGTTCCCCTTTCCCTCAATACTCTATCATCAAATCTCAAAAACCTCATAGTCTATCTACTTCTTGAATCCTGTCATCATTTATTGTGGCCCAACCGCTATATACTGTCCTAACTGGTTTCCTGCCTCTTGTCTCCAACGGTCCCATTTCCCTGATATCCACGCTCCATTTAAACTACCAATCCCTTAGGTAAAATCTTTCAATGGCTTTGTAACACCCTGGGGCAGAATTCATTGGGGAAGCTTGTAAGATACAGATTCCTAGCCTTACCTCCAGTGATGAGGGCAAGGCTCAGATATGGATTTTAATATATAAAAATAAAATTTTTAATAATTAAAATGTTTATGTGGGGAAAAAAGTAGTAAAAATTTTAAACTATACTTGTTTTTAATTTTTCTGGTACTCAACTTCCCAATTAGGTTCCCTATTCTCTATCTCCTGTTCCTAACTTGATAGCTTTGTGTTTTCTGTTGCTCTGTCACTTTAGTAACTTTAAAAATACTTCTTTCTTTTAAGCCTCCGAACTCTTCACTAAGCAAACTGAGAATATGGTTCTCTTACTCTTATAGTTACTTCTCCTTTCATTTACTTCTCCACATCTGTCAGAAATACCCTTCCTTTTGTGCTTATCTGGGTTGGTAACATTTACATTTTGTTCCACGGCTACAACTGAGTCTTCCATGTTCTATCTACATGGTAATTCTAAGAGCTGAAAGCGAAGCCATGCTGTTTATACTCTGTGTGACTCTGGCACAGAATCAGATTTGGAAACTGTGTGACAGAATAAAGAATCTGCTGTGCTATCAAGCTTATAAGACCGCAGGGGCCTGGTTGGTGGCGCTATCTCCAGCCTCATGTTTAGGCAGTTTCTACCCCATACTTTGTGATTCAGCAACACTGAACTACTTATAATTTGCTGAATGCTAGGTCTCACCTCAGACTTTGCTCATCGTGTTATCTCTGCCTGGAACACCTCTCATCCCTTTTTACTTTATTAATCCTTATTCATCTCTCAAAATCCAGCTCAGGTGTCACTTCCTGCTTCTTCCAGGTATTTCATTTTGTTGTACATTTCTATTAGGGTAATTAGCACATTAAATCAGTTCATATTTATCTCCATGACTAAACTGACATGCCTTGAGGGCAAGGACTGTGTCTTGTTTACCACTGTTTTCCCAGTACCTTAGCACAGTGCCTGTTCAATACATGGCAGCAATTTAGTTACCTAAGCATATGCAAGAAGCTGAGCAGGACTGTACATATAGAATATAGTATTTACTTTATTCTGTTACTTGATAATCTAAGACAGAAAAATTCAGAAGTGCTACATTAGTCAGAAAATAAAGGCAGTTATAAAAAGAACATTAAAATGTGAAATAATAGCTTATAATAAACTTACCTCCACATTCTTCTATAAGATTGGCTATGGTTTCTGCCTCATCTTCAGCCATTTTTAATATATTACTTAGTCCATCAAGTACTACTTGCACAACTTGTGCATCTTTTACAGTCAGCAAGTTGCAAAAAGGCGGAATAACATTTTGTTGGATTAGATAGGCCACCTGAAGAAGAAAAACACCATGACAAAATAAACATAAGAGAATTTTGTTTGTGTACCATATGATTTCACTGAAATAATTTTGACTTCAAAAGTTTGAGTATGGAAACATGACCTCATCTTTCACGTTATGTTAGACCACATTAGATTATTTTATTATTTTATTGTTAAGATTATTTTACTATGAGATTCCTTCTCCTTTTAATGTAGTGTTTACTTTTCTTTAACTTAGGAAAAAACAAGTGAAAATGAAGGAATCACTCAACTTCATATGAAACATTTGCTGTAAGGAGTACTTTCTTCAAAGGCCCCTTCCTCCCCTTTAAGATTAAAAAATTATGAAATCTGTAAAGAGGATGGATGATTTTTTTTAAAGCTACCAACTGTTCAATGTTATAGTATTCAATGTGAGAGTGCTATAACATTTAGAATCCTCAAATACCTGGCCATCTTCAATTCACTGTTCAATTGGTTATATAGTATTTTCGTAATATTTTTCTAACATTTTTATATTTTGTTATATTGTCATTTCCATGTACTATGTGTATATTCTGCTCTGTATTCATATGTAAGTGGATTCATTGCTCACCACCAGTCTATAGCTTATCTGTGACAATGCCTCTTTAAACTTTACACCCTAGGCTCCTTACATCCCTTTCCCTAATTCCTAGACCCAGTCTTTTGGCTTACGTTAGTTCCTTGCTTTGCTGCTGGTAAATTTTTGTTGCTGTTTGTGTTCTTTTTGTTGTTGGTGTTCATTTGTTATAAGAATCTGTGATGTTGTTTCATTCTGCCCTATTATGCTAAAAAGTCCTGTTTTTTCTTAATACTGTTAAAAAAATAAATAAATAAACCCCTGACTACATATGTTTTGATCTTACCATGGATTAGAAAATTTTTGTAGGCCAAGATGGTGTAACACTTCTCATCTATGAAATATAACTAAAGGAAGTCAAGGTGACACTTTTATATGGGGGGAAAGAAAAAAATCACAGAATGTCTGTTATCTTGCTATTATTTTAAGTTATGATTTAACTGAAATCTAAATCTTAGAATTATCTGTACTATTATTTTACCAGGTTTGAGAAATAAATAAGAGCTGAACTTACTTGATCTTTCCTCCCACTAATTGTTAAGTTACTTATGGCCCAAGCAGCTTCTTTCTGAGTGCCAAAATCCCCCTGTAAAAGCAAAGGATACAAATTGCAACATAGTTTAAATTGGGGAAAAGTGTTATCTGAAATGATTTTCAACTGCTTATTTCCCCAGGTTTTTTCTAGCCTTTCTATTTGCATACATAATTTTTACTTAAGAAAAGATTTTGAATTCAATTTACCCTAAACAAAACAACAATTTACCCTAAACAAATGTAGACTCCCTTTTGCAAACTCTCCTGGAAACAAACTGACTTGGTATTAGTGTTCAATGAAATCAGATTAAATGAAGTCAGTGATAAAATAAAAGCAGTCAAAAAAAGGAAAACGTACATTTCACTTTAATCAAAGAAATGTCCAGTATCCTTTTAAACACAAAACAAGGTTTTAAAAATGATAATGTCCACCACTAATGAGACTATGATATAAAAATAGCACCCTCCTACATTACCTTTCAAATATAAATTGAAAAAAATATACTTAAAAATCATTTAAAAAGTCATATATATGACTTAGTAATATACTTAGTAATACATTTAATAATTATATGAAGTTCTCAAAGGTGAGAATCTCTGAGAACTTACCAAGAAAATAATTTAAAACAAATATTATGTATCTTTCTAGATATCATCTTAGTAGCACATACTAGTCAAAAAGTAAAAGCAACCAGAATTCTCAACAACAGTGGAATAAATGACTAATTACAATAAATCTGCTGAATGGAGTAATAACCTGTTGTTAAATATAAAGAAGACTAGCAACCTGGGAAAATGCTTACAATTAAGGAAAAAACCTATATAAATATGAGGAATAAAAATTAATATTGTAGTGGGATATCTTTTTATATACCAGACTGATAAAATGTAAATATCAGTGAGGCTGGTAGGATTGTAAAATGGTACAATGCTTACAGAGTGGGGATGACATTATACAGCAAAATTTACACATATGCCAAAAAACCCTAAACAGGGGCGCCTGGGTGGCTTAGTCGTTAAGTATCTGCCTTCGGCTCGGGTCATGATCCCGGGGTCCTGAGATCAAGCCCCGCACTAGGCTCCCTGCTCAGCGGGAAGCCTGCTTCTCCCTCTCCCACTTCCCCTGCTTGTGTTTCCTCTCTCGCTGTGTCTCTCTCTGGCAAATAAATAAAAATCTTAAAAAAAAAAACAAACCAAAAACCTAAACAAACAAAAATACTAATTTCCCCAAATAAAAAACAGAAATAAGTAACGTAACTATATATATCAAGTTGGTGACCTAATCACACATACAAAAATTATTTCAAGTGACAGATCATTTTTAAGTACATCACTGATGGAATACATCCTAAAAACAATACCCCTCAAGGAAATCTTAAAAGTGGAGTAGTCAGGTGGCAATATGATCTTATTATTTTGATAAATTTTATATATCTCAATATATACTGTAATCTTTTTAGTTCTCATGTTCACAAAATTACTATATATTTTCTACTTTTTTTTTAAGTAGGCTCCATGCCCGAAGTGGGGCTTGAACTCATGATCCTGAGGATCAAGAGTCGCATGCCCTACTGACTGAGCCAGTCAGGCATCCCTATTTTCGATTTTCTAAAAACAAAACCAAACAAAACCAAACACATTATCACCCATTTTGTTCACTAGAAACAATGACAACCTTGTAGCAATTATCATCCTTAGGACCTGAACTATGATACTTACATACTATCTGCTACCTAAAAGGACACCCTGGAAAGTCTAGGTCAGAAAATACATAAAATAAGCTTGAGAACTGTGTCATATTCAAAAGGTAGGAAGCTCTCATCTCAAAAACTACTGGGGTGATGGAAAAAAGACACAGGTGCTAAATTTAAGAGATTCCCATTGGTTAGGGACAATCTGCTAGAAAAAATAACTACAATGGACTAAAACTTACAATATATACATAAAAATTCATAATTTCCTAATGACACTAAAAACTCCACCCTAGTATCCTTTTGAGGTTGTTAGGGAACCATGTTATTCTAAAAACTAAGTGAATAATGGGATGCCTGGGTGGCTCAGTCAGTTAGGCATATGATTTTTCATCTCAGCTCCGGTCTTGATCTCAGGGTCATGAGTTCAAGCCCTGAACGGAGCCTACTTAAACACACACACACACCCCTCCCCCAAAACAACAAAACAAAAACTAAGTGATAATGAGAATTCATCTTGCCTTTCTTATATGAAACATATTTCAGAGTAAACCAATAGCTGATAAAGGAAAAAGGTTTTTTTCTTTTTTAAAGATTTTATTTATTTATTTAGAGAGAGAGATAGTGGACAGAGATAGGGAGAGAGAGCATAAGCAGGGAGGAGAGGGAGAAGCAGGCTCCTGCCGAGCAGGATCCTGACATAGGGCTCGATTCCAGGACCCCAGGATCATGACCTGAGCCGAAGGCAGATGCTTAACCGACTGAGCCATCCAGGCGCCATGAAAAAAGCTTTTTATTGAAAAATCAAAGTTAATACATAAACAACGACAGAATTAGAAAGTCAGCATTTTGCAGTTCCTAGTAAAATAAGGGATCCACACAATGATCATTAATGACTACCTGAAAACCACTAGTGAAAAACTGATGGCTAGGTTTATAACAATCAATTGGAGTAGGCTCATAACACCTGAGCTCACTCATCAATCTGAAGAGGACAGATGTAGGACATCTGAAGATATGGGACAAACAGTATATGTCTTCTGATGCAAATCATTAGGAAATACAGAGTAGTGCATTAAGCCTTGCCTAAAAAACTGAACTGGCTCTACCAGTTTATAAGAAACTAAGCCTTTACTACCAGTTTGTAGAAAACATGGAGGGAGGGGCGCCTGGGTGGCTCAGTTGGTTAAGCGACTGCCTTCGGCTCAGGTCATGATCCTGGAGTCCCTGGATCGAGTCCCGCATCGGGCTCCCTGCTCAGCAAGGAGCCTGCTTCTCCCTCTAACCCTACCCCCTCTCATGTACTCTCTCTCTCTCATTCTCGCTCTCTCAAATAAATAAATAAATCTTTAAAAAAAAAGAAAAAAAAAGAAAACATGGAGGGAAAGAAGATAGAGTTATCGTCTCTCTAATTACAGATCAATGTTTAGAAAAAACCCATGCCGTGACTGTGACATTTTAAATTGTCTCTTTCCCAAACGTTAATGTAAGCATGAGTGATGATACAACATATGATTAAATAGCACACTTACTTGCTGTTTGATTTTGGACAATTTATTTGTCTATACCATAGTTTCTTCATCTGTCAAAAGGGGATAATTCTTAAGCTCATGGAGTTGCAGAGTTATATGAAATAATACATGTGGAATGATGAGAACAATATGTAAGCATTTATAATCAGCAGTAATAATTATGATTTTGAGTATTATCATCAGTAATGTGTTTTAAAATAGTAATAATGTATTTTTAATAAATCCCAGGATAATGGTAATATTGGTAAAGGAATGATACAGAAGAAGGGTCAGGGGTTCTAAAAAGAAATGTGTTTTTTATATGTAAAACTGCTAGGTTCGGGGCGCCTGGGTGGCTCAGTCGGTTAAGCATCTGCCTTCGGCTCAGGTCATGATCCCAGGGTCCTGGGATCGAGCCCCGCGTCGGGCTCCCTGCTCGGCGGGAAGCCTGCTTCTCCCTCTCCCACTCCCCCTGCTTGTGTTCCCTCTCTAGCTGTCTCTCTCTCTGTCAAATAAATAAATAAAATCTTTAAACAAAACAAAACAAAACAAAACTGCTAGGTTCAAAGTTTTCACATTACTACTACTTTACTGTAGTCTTCGTGCTGCTGTATAGGTTCTAGAGGTATATAATCACATAATCTGTTAAATTTAAATCCTTTTCCTCTTACTCAGATTATATACAAGATGATTTTCTTACCTTATCCAAAAGGTGTATTATCATTGGTACAAGATTGGCATCAATTACTGCTTGAACCTGCTGCTGATTTCCTGCGGTGATGTTAGAGAGGAACCACACTGCTTCCTGCAGAACAAGACCCCTTCAATATTTCTCATTAAAAATTAAAATCTGCATCTGGACTAAATTCACTACATTTGTCACAATGTTCAAATGATTTTATTATGGAATGAGTTCCATAATAAAAATTTCAGGAATCTCAACTCCTCTATCCCCCCACATTCTGTATTTTCTTTGAACAAATTGTTAATGGCCCTAATCCAAGTCATGATGAACCCTTCCGAAAAATTCTTGAAAGCAATGTTCCCAAATGTAAGATTCAAAAGAAGCTTGTCTGAACAAATACTAAGGAATCCATGAGCTGTAATATAGATACAAATCCCAAAACTACTGTAAATGAGATTCAGCATCCCCCTCACATAATGTGCTTTATTCTCTATTCTACTGTGATCAAGAATGCTAGCCAGAGTCGGTAAATCTAAATAGTGGATTGTTTTAGTATACTTATTTGTAAGTCATTCACTGCATCATTTCTCTCAAGAGCTAAAGTGGAACCAGATGTTTCATTGGTCTACCGTAAGGATCTTTTTATGCTACCCTTTACACTTTAGTGGTGCTTACTGCTTTTGCCAAGATGATGGTAGTCAAGTGTTCCACGAGTTTCATAGACAATAAATGCACACTGAGACCAGTTAGCATGAAATAAGACAAAATATCAACCTCATATCCTATGTAGTATATTACTGTCATTTACCAGACATAATAAACTTATTACATTAATCAATGTAAAGGGAAACATTCTCTATTTAAAAAAAAATTAGTAAACAAATTTTATTCCTGAAACTATTAGTATTAGCTAATGTCAAGTAGGCTCTTTGGATCAGATCACAGGACCATGTTTAATGAACCTGTTAGAGATTGTAGGGTGCTAGGCTACTTAGGTGAGCTGTTCTTGGGTTATAATCATCGGCAATGTTGTAATCAACAGCCCGTCTATTTCTACAACAGCCTCAGATGCACTCCAATATCAGCATCACCAATCAGTGCTCCCTTTCAATAGCCTCCATGAGCGAGGACACACATACACACACACACACACACACACACAATTATCTATAAAGTTTACTTAACTCACACATTAAAATTTTCCAATCACACAACATTCAACACCCAATTATCTCTATTTCATCATTTCCAAGAGAGCCAAATTTGCATTGTTTACAACTGGTTTTATATACAGAAAATCACAGAAATCCATGTTATAAAGAATAAAATATTCTATCTTCTCTTGATGTCTAAATGACGGTTTATATTAATAATCATTATAGATACTTCTGAATCCCTAATTTTACAAATGAAAACTGCTGAATATTTTGTGTTACTTATTAAGTAGTATTTAAAAATACTTACTTTATTAATTTTCTCTTTGGGATGTGTCAGAAGTGCTGGGAAGTGTGAAAGAGCATCACAGTTCAAAACTACTTGTGTTTGCTCATCGGTTCCAGTAACAATGTTGCCCACAGCTCTAAGTGCTGCAGTCTGAAACAAAAGATTTAATAAGATGTTCTATTATGAAAGATACACTTTCATTCATGCCAACCTGTTTTTGAGCAAGTTGTGTCTGACACCAATTTAGGAATAGAGGAGTGAATAGGACAGGGTTATGGAGCTTACATTATCGTAGAAGACAGTCAAGAAACAAACAAGGATAATTTTTGATAGTAATTAGGGCCATAAAGACAGTAAGTACTTTAGATTTCTGATTCGCTGTTTCAATAAATTACAAACAAAAACACAGTGCTCTTCTGAAGGAGAGCAAGAACCTGCTTAGTATGAGATTTCACTATCGTATGAATTTGAATTACCAATTATTTTATAGTTGTATTAGGTCTTTTTCTGTCAAGTTAAAGCTTTTTGGGGGGCTAATTTTAACATTTACAAGACAAATGACTCAGTTTCCCCCCTCAATTGAGATATAATTTATATAACAAAAAATTTACCCTTTCAAAGTGTAAAATTCAGTGGTTCTTATATATTCAAAATTGTGCAACCATAAAAGGTAATTCCAGAACATTTTTATCACATCAAAAAGGGGTATCTGTAACCATTAGCAGTCACTCCCATTCCCCCCCACCCTGGGGAAGGGGGTTGACAGCTACTATGCCTGAGACGTCTCTGAATTTGCCTATTCCAGACATTTCATATAATTGGAATCAGACAGTAGGTGGCCTTTTTTGTCTGGCTTCCTTCACTTAACATAATGCTTTCAAGGTCCATTCATGTTGTAGCATGTATAGATACTTCATTCCTTTTCATGGCCAAATAATATTCCAGTTATATGTAAGTAGAATATATTTTTAACTATTCATTAGTGGATAAACATTTGGCTTTCACTGGCTATTATGAATAATAGTGCTATAAACATTTGTGTGCCAGTTTTTGGGTGAACATGTGCTTTCAGTTCTCTTGGGTTTATATATACCTGGGAATAGAAAATGCTGGGTTATACAGTAACTCTGTATCTAACTTTTTGAGGTACCGTCACACTGTATTCCAAAGACGATGTACCATTTTACATTTCTATAGGTGTATAAGGATTCCACCCTCTCTTGTCAAAACTTGTTAATGTCTTTTTGATTATACCATCCTGGTGTGTATGAAGCGGTATTTCATTGCAGCTTTGATCTGCATTTCCTTCATGACCAATAACGTTGAACATCTTCTCATGTGCTTACTGACGATTTGTATGTATAACTGTATCTAAATGTTTTGCCAATTTTTAATGGGATTTGTCTTTTTATTGTTGAGTTGTAAGAATTCTTTATGTATTTTGGATCCAAGTCCCCTTTCAGATACATGATTTGCAAATACTCCCTTCCATTCTGTGGGTTGTCTTTTCACTTCCTTGATGGTTTCCTGAGAAGCACAAGTTTTTAATTTTGGTGAAGTCCAATTTATTTTTCTCCTTGGTTGCTTGTGCTTGTTGTATCTTATCTAAAAAATTGCTACCTAATCCAAGGTCATGAAAATTTATGCTTATGTTTTCTTCTAAGAGATTTGCACTTTTAGCTCTTATATTTAGGTGTTTGATCTATTCTGAGCTAATTTTTATATATAGGGGTCATCTAATTTCATTTGTTTACATGTAGATACTCAGTAGTCTCAGATCCATTTGTTCAAAAGACTATTCTTTGCTAATTGAATTTTCTTGGCATCTTTGTTGAAAATCAATTGATCATAAATATATGGGTTTGTATCTGGAGTCTTTTTATTTTATTTTATTTACTTGAGAGAGAGAACGAGCAGGGAGAGGGGCAAGAGGAGAAGGAGAAGCAGACTCCCCGCTGAGCAGGGAGCCTGACACAGTACAGGGCTCCATCCCAGGACCCTGGAATCATGACCTGAGCTGAAGGGAGATGCTTAACTGACTGAGCCATCCAGGTGCCCCAACAGGAATCGCATTTAACCTGTAGGTAAATGTGAGGAGCACTGCCGACCTAACAACACTGTCTTCTAATCTATGAACATGGATGTCTTTCCATTTATTTAGGTCTTCTTTAATTTTTTAAAAATGTTTTGTAGTGACCCAGCTTCTTTAACAAATAAATTTAAAAGGGGAAAGAAAAATAAAAGAAAATTGTAACATAAAGAAACAAAGACAAAGCTACCAAATGCAATGTGTCAATTGGAGACTGATTTGGTCAAACTGTGAAAAAATATGAAGCAATCAGTAAAATTTGGATACTGATTGGGTTTTAATATTAAAATTAAAAAAATACTCTAACAGTACTGTGATTATGTAAAAACACGTAACCTTATTATTTTTTTAATTTATTTATTTGACACAGAGAGACACAGCGAGAGAGGGAACACAAGCAGGGGGAGTGGGAGAGGGAGAAGCAGGCTTCCCTCAGAGCAGGGAGCCCAATGCAGGGCTCGATCCCAGGACCCTGGGATCATGACCTGAGCCGAAGGCAGACGCTTAACGACTGAGCCACCCAGGTGCCCCCATAGCCTTATTTTTTAAGAGAAGCTGGATGAAATTATATACTATCTGGGATGTGTCAAAATAATTTGGGGGGGACGGAGTGAGCAAGATTATAGAGAAAATCTACATGGAGGTTCATTACAATTATTCTCTTTTCCTAAATTATGGAGTTAAAGTTGAAAAAAAATTTAAAAACCTCTACTAGATATCATATAAAGTACAGAACATTGACAGCTACTAAAGAAAAATTCCAACCTTATTTCTGAATGAAATCCAATTTAAAACTAATGATGCATTCCGAAAAAAAAAACAAAAACAAATACCCATACCAAGACATAAGTACCACGCTTAAGAAATGCAAACTTAATATCTAGTATGAGTATTTTATTAACTTTTTTTCAAAGTTTACTTATTTATTTTTAAGTAATCTCTATACCTAACATGGGGCTTAAACTTACTACCCTGAGATCAAGAGTCGCATGCTCCTCTAAGCCAGTTAGGTGCCTCTATTAAAATATTTTATTTATTTATTTTTTTAAAAGATTTTATTTATTTGAGAGAGAGAGAGACAGTGAGAGAGGAAACACAAGCAGGGGGAGTGGGAGAGGGAGAAGCAGGCTCCCCACGGATCAGGGAGCCCGATGTGGGGCTCGATCCCAGGACCCTGGGATCATGACCTGAGCCGAAGGCAGATGCTTAACGACTGAGCCACCCAGGCGCCCCTCTATTAAAATATTTTAAATGAGCTACAAATACCCCTAAATGGCAAACTATTTATTCTATTCCTGAATTCGGCTAAGTCTTCCCTCGTTCCTTAAACAGCTTTAAATTTTTAAGGTTTGTGTTCTCCATTCCAATCGTCCATGAGTATCATCTGAAGAGCTTTTTAAAGCCCAGGTCTCTAGGAAATATCCCAGATTTATTAAAACAGAATCTCTAGGGGTCAAGCAAGGGAAATAAAAATTTTTTTTTTCTTCAAGCTTCACAGTTGATTTTAATGTCCACCCAGGGTTGAGAAATAGTTAATTAGGTTAACGGTTTTCCTTATGCTATTGCTAACAGACTGTAAGTCATCATGATTAAAGCATACTATTTACCTCGGAAGGATAGGAAAGCTTGCTCTATCTCCCTTTACCACTGCAGTTTGACAGTTAACTACTTATAATATTTGTGTGAACTTCTCACCCTCTCTTTTTTGGCTCTTTCTAGATGCAGGTTTGGAATATTTATATGGAAGGATTTAAAAATAATAAAAGGATAAAACAAAGTTAAAAAGGATTTTATTTATTTATTTTGGGGGGGAGGGTTAGAAGGAGCGGGAGAGGGACAAGCAGACTCCCCACTGAGCAAGGAACTGCCTGGCAGTTTGGTCCAGGACCCAGGACCCAGAGATCATGACCTGAGGTGAAGTCAGATGCTTAACCAACTGAGCCACCCAGGTGCCCCGTTAAAAAAAGATTTTAAGTAACTAAAAGGAAACAATTTAGGAAGGCCCTACGCAGCATATTTCAGTATAAAGCCTTTATCACAGTGCCAATGAAACTAGGCATTAACTAAGCTTGCCCAGTACAGTATGGAGAGTTAAAAAAAAGAGGGGAGAAAAGGAAAAGAGTAGGAAAAATGAAGAAAAATAAAAAATAGAAAAAAAATAAAGTATCAGTACTTGTTTCAAATGCCACCCAAGTTAACATACGAATTTCCTAGGTCTATGTTAGAAATCAGTAATCTATAAAGGAGATGCCCTGGGGTGGGGTTTTTGGTGGGGTGTAGGGAAAGGGAAGGGGAGGGGGGAAGGTTCTTGTTAATCTTACCTCATTTTCTCCATCTTTAAAAGGTGGATTTTTTAATACCTCACTCTTTTCAAAAATATGTTCTTATTTTATTTCAAAAAGATACATGCACCCCTACGTTTACTGTGGCATTACTTACAATAGCCAAGATATGAAAGCAACCCAGTGTCCATCGATAGATGAATGGATAAAAACGTGGTATGTGTGCATGTGTGTGTGTGTGTATATATATATATACATACACACAAACCAATGGAATATTAACCATAAAGAGAATGAGACCTTACCATGTACAACCACATGGATGGACCTATAGAGTATTACGCTAAGTAAATCAGAGAAAGAAAAATACCATATGATTTCACTTATATGTGGAATCTAAAAAACAAAATGAACAAACAAAAAGCAGAAACAGACCCATAAATACAGAGAACAAATTAATGTTTGCCAGACAGGAGGGAGGTGGGGGGATGGGCAAAATGGGTGAAGGTGACTGGGAGATAGAGGCTTCCAGTAATTTGATGATTAAGTCAAGGGATCACAGTATAGCATAGGGAATACAGTCAGTGGTATTGTAATAGCATTATATTGTGACAGATGGTAGCTACACTTGTGATGAGCACAGCATAACTTATAGAGAAGCTGGATCACTATGTTCTATACCTGAAACTAATGTAACATTGTGTGTCAACTATACTTCAATAAAGAAAAAAAGATTTAAAAAAAGATGTGTTATTAGGTTAGAAATATACTTTGAACTAATGAAACTGTCTATTTTTGAGTGCCATGCTTAAAGCAAATTAGTGGTAAACAAAACACCTTATATTATTATCAACAACAAACTCACCTGAACTTTAACTTCCTGGTGGCTGAGCAGAGGAACCAAGTGAGGGACTATTCCAGAGTCTATTACCATCTGTATCTGTTCATTGCCAGCATCAGTAAGGTAAGAGAGGGCCCAGACTGTATCTACCAATATCTAATGGATAAAATGAAAATTCAAACAGCCTTTGAATATTTTGTCACTTTAATAATTCTTAACTACAGTTAACTTAGTTACAGTTAATCTATGATTGTTTCACGACCTTCTTTCTTCCTTTCTTGTCTCACCTCAATTCACTGAAATCTTAATCTGCTCTATAATACTAAACATCATCATCTATCTCTGAATGTCTGTATCAAGTATGTGCATCTTTTAGCCATATTTAGGATGCTTCAGTTAATTATGATCTCAACCACAGATTAGTATCCAGTCTTTTTTTTTTTTTTTAGTATCCAGTCTTAATTCACTAAGATACACACTACACTGTACATGAAATAGGAGAAAAAGACATTGCCTTTCTCAAATGCTCACACTGAGGCGTAACAGGTCCAAAGACATGTAGTAAGTACATATAGTTGTAAATACTGAATGTATTCAACATACACAGTGATTCAAAACACTGGGGCTAGATGTATACATTCAAGTTGTTTTCTAGTATCACTAGTATCATGTAGGTATGTCTAAAGCCAATATTTCAGTATTAGAAGTATAGTAGTTTCATCTTTTCCAACCAGTTTGCTTTGCCTTATAAAACTGGAGGCAACTTCTCATAGTGGAAGCATCCCACAGCTGCAGATCAAGACATTAAAAGCAACCATGGGTCAATCTGTATGATCCATAATAAAAAACGTTCTAGTAAAAAAAAGAAAATGCATAATTTACAGCATCTGCCAAAAAACTATTTATAAAAAAACCCCTCTGCAATTAAATTATATAAAAATTAAACTATCATTAAATGTTATAATTTTTATTAACATCAAATGAAATATTATAATTTTTAAAAAGATTTTATTTATTTATTTATTTGACAGAGAGAGAGAGACACAGTGAGAGATGGAACACAAGCAGGGGGGGTGGGAGAGGGAGAAGGTTTCCCGCCAAGCAGGGAGCCCAATGCGGGGCTCGATCCCAGGACCTTGGGATCGTAACCTGAGCCAAAGACAGAGGCTTGACGACTGAGCCACCCAGGTGCCCTGAAATGTTATAATTTTTAATGAACCTTATTGTGAAGTTCAGCAGGCCACTGTGTTTCATCTTTCTTTTGCATTAAATCATAATTAGAAGTTATATCCAAGAGGAAGTATGACAACTGTTAAACTGTTGCATAAATAGCACAGTTAGTGACAAAGACACAGGAATAATAATTGTGCCTGGAACTTTACTTCTGGAGCCTTTCTGGAATATGAATTACGTATCAAAAGACAAGTCAGAAAGGTTTGAAAACTTTTAAATTCTTTTTTTTTT